GTGAACAAGAAAGCGAAACCCTAGATATGGCTCTATTTGGATACAATGATGTTTTACTTGTTTCCATGGTGTTTTTACCAAAAATAAAACACCATGCGTTTGAAAACCATGGTGTTTTTTGAGCTAAATTATCCTCAAATAAAAAACACAACACTTATTTCAACACACCTTTTAGGTGTTTTAAGTTTGGTGTTTTGGATTTGAGTTTGAGCAGGTGTTAATATAATATCAAATATAATATATTAAATGTAATTAATATATAGTTATTATCAACATACTTAGTAATATTTATTAAATAATATAAATATATAATAATATAATAATGTAAAAATAATATATTCATAATATAATAATATTAATTTATATCATAAATTATTAAAGTATTATTAATAAACTCTAACATATTAGAAACTATAATATATTATATAATATAAAAATATTTGTAATATATGAATTTATTAATAATATAGTAGTAATAACATAATATTAACATTAATAATAATAATAAACTATATATTAAAAACAAAATAATATTATTTTAAAAATATTATATAATATATAACAATAACAAATTGATAATACCAATAATTTAATATATTATAAAGTAATTAAAATTTTAATACTAAAATAATTTATTGCTAACAAAATGTTAATGTAAATATAATATATTAATAAATAATAATATTGATTTATATCATAAATTATTAAAGTATTATATAATAAACTCTAATACATTAGAAACTAATAATTTTATAATATTAAAATATATGTATTTATTAATAATGTAGTATAAACATAATATTACATTATTAATAATAGTATAATATTATATTAATAATAAAATAATATTATTTTAAAAATAGTATAAAGTATATAACAATAACAAATTGATATACCAAAATAATTAAATATATAAGTATTTGAAAATAATATGTAATAATTATAATTAATAATTGTAAAATAATATAACTCATTAAAGTACAATATAATATTATAATACATTATACAATATTATCTTATATTATATTTAATACTTATAATAATATAATAATGTAAACTAAATATTATACCATTTTATTTATAATATATTATATTATAATTAATGTATAATATATTAATAATATGTTAAATACTAATGTTATACTATGTGAAACTAATGTTGAACAAAAACACTCAACATTGTTTTTTAAAAACATTTTAAGGGAAAAACACAACATCATGATGTTTTTTTTCAAGAACACAACAAGGAAAACACCATGGTATCCAACTGAAGCTTAGATATTTGGTTTTGGATGTGGTTGATTGTTAGACATGCTGCTCGGCCCATGGAAAATCATGGGTCTTAGATGAATCCGGTGCATGAGTATTTTTACTGTAGCGATGGGAGAGGGGGGTGTGGTTGGTGGTGTGTTAGGGGGTGTGCCCCTAACATTATTTATTTCGTTTTGGACCCAAACTGACTAACCAGTAACCATGAGACAAGATGTGATATGTCTATTCTTTTGCATTCCAGTCAAGATCAATTGCTACCATAGAAACACATCACTTATTCTATAATTGGTTCTATGGTTTTGGGTCCAAAATCAATTTCTCCTAGTTTACATTTCGCATTTATAGCTCATGCATGTTAAATGAGTTCACCACCCTAATTATAAAAAAGAGTTGTATATATGATTACCCCTAACATGTTTTATTCATGGGTCTAGATCAAAACTTAGAGCGATGCTCCCTATGTTACAGCCTCTATCGTATTTACTAGATGATGATAATTCTTTTTTATGTTTTGGGATATTGGAGGCAATCAATTTTATGGTTGTTTTCTATTTAGATTAGCTCATTAAATAAAATAAATTGTATATTCTTTTACAACAAAATTGTTTTTTTTATGTAAAGTAATAACATCAGTAGTGATTAGCATCGGTTAAATAGCACTCCATGCCAGTCTCCTCCCGCGCAAATCGGCCG